TCTATTAGGGAGTTTGTATGTGTTTATGTGTCTGTCCAAGAGTATATGTGTGTTTGTCAGTGTGAGTGAATGTGTGCTTGTCAGTGAGTGTATATGTGTTTGTATGTGTGTCTGTAAAAGAGTATGTGTGTTTTTCAGTGAGAGTGTATGTGTGTCTATCAAAGTGTATGTGTGTCTGAGTGTGTCAGTGTGTGTATCTGTGTCAAGGTTTGTGTGTGTCACCATGTGTATCTACGTGTGTGTGTTTGTGTGTATGTGTGTGTGTATATCAGTGTGTGTGTATCTGAGTGTGCCAGTCTGTATCTGTGGGTGCAAGTGTGTGTATATGTCACTGTGTGTATCTGCGTGTGTCTATTTGTGAGTCAAGATGTGTGTCAGTGTGTATCTGTGTGTCACTATGTGCCAGTGTGTGTGTGTATCTGTGTGTCAGATACAGATACATATACACACACATACACACACACAGATACACACTGACACAGAGATACACACACTGGCGCATACAAACACAGATATACCCACCTTGACACACACTGACACATACAAACACAGATGCACACACTTTGAAACATAGATACACACACCTTGGCACACAGATCAATTCACACACACAGATACACACTGTGTGTGACAAGGTGTGTGTATCTGTGTCAGTGTGTGTATCTATGTGCCAATATCTGCCAGTGTTTGTGTATCTGTGTGTCAGATTCATACACACCGGCACATACAAACACAGATACACACCTTGATACACAGACACATACAAACACAGATACACACACTTTGACACACAGATACACACACCTTGACACACAGATACATACACACACACACACACACACAGATACACACTGTGTGTCAAGGTGTGTGTATCTGTGTGTCAGTGTATGTATCTATGTGCCGGTGTGTGTGTGTATCTGTGTGTCAGATACACACACACACAGATACACACACTGGCACATACAAGCACAGATATACACACCTTGACACACACCGGCACATACAAAAAAGAGGGGGAGGGTCCACAATGTTGATACACTATGTCAAAAGGTTCCACGGGAAAATTTAATTGGGAACCCCTGGGGTAGATAAACGGGACAGGGGGATTTGGCCCAGAGTAGGAACTGTCGGTCTTATAAGAGACACTTGGGAGGCAAAACGTGCTGTGTCATCGCCAATGACACGCAGGCTTCCCAAAGTTTAATGCACCTCCAGAGCAGCTCATGTGCAGAGCTCTGTTTAAATGACAAGCCCACACCCATAAAGCACTCCAGCTTACTTTCTGGGTAAAGTGTATCCCATAATAATGGCAATTTATGACAAGTGCCGATTTCTAATAAATATTGCCACTTTTATAAATATTTAATAAAACATCCCCTAGCTGTCAATCAAGCTGCCAAATGGGGTTTCTTCCTGCTTTCATTATCTCCCCTGAGCTAACAGAAGTGGCAGGCGCACTTTAATTTGGTGGATGATAGGGACTGTTATTCAGGGTTTCTCTGCTGTTTTAAACAGTAATCCTTCCTCTCTGTATGTCTGAGCTATTCAGCTGCTTTTTAACAATCAGCTCCTTCATTACCATTTCCACGGTTACTCACCTGGTTGTTAGTAGCCAGCCCTGTTGCTAAAGTGTAGTCCATTTTAGCAGCAAGTTCCAGTACCTCCTTGCCCTTGCGTGGTTTCCTGTTTCCTGTGTATTCCTGGTTCGTGACTTCTGGCCTTGTTCCTGACTCTGCTGCTCTCTGTTCTCCTGATTCCGGCTCGTTTGACTTCCCGCTTTGGTGCTTGACCCCTGCTTGCCTCCTGGACTTTGCTTTTAGTTTATTTCATTTGTTGCTATTTATTAATAAAGGTGTTGTGTATCTACTTTCTGTCTCTGTCTGGTTCCTGGTCCCTAACATTACGCAAGGGCCATGAATACAGATGGTACAGGCAATCCACCTATACCTAACCTATTTACTCGGTTGGACCAGCAGGACCACCGTTTGGACCAGTACGCGCATGCTCTGCAGATCCTCCTGATTTGTACTGCACATCTGGATCCAGCACCCGGTCAGCCTGTGATTGCGGCCACCTCTGCCTCACTTCCTGTTCTAAAACCCGTTGTAGTCTAAGAACTTGTTGCTTCTAGAGGAATGACTAGGTTTGTCCTGCTCCCTCAGCATTTTGGGGGCAACCCAGCTCAGTGCAGAGGATTTTAAACCAGGTTAGAGGATACCTTTAAATAGATACCATTATGTGTGTGTACTGAAGTAAAGAGAAGTTCTATTTGTGAATATATAACATGCTAATACATTAAACTGGCGACGAGGATGGGATGTCAGTAAATGGACACTGCAGAATATATATACAGGAAATAAAATAAGGTGGTTGATGCTATTCAGAAGAGAGCCGTGTTACTGAGTGTTATTGGATCCAAGACTTTTGATACTGTCCGCTCACTGATATCTCCTGCTAAACCACAAGACTACTCATTTGAAGAAATACTGGCACTGTTAAAAAATCATTTAGCACCCACCCCAACTGAAACAGTGATGTGTTTCCATTTCAATAGAAGAAATCAGAAACCAGGTGAAATCACTGCAGCATATATTGTAGAACTGCGCAGGCTGTCTGAAAATTGCAATTTTGGTACCAGCTTAGAATGCTTGTTAAGGGACAGGTTTGTGTGTGGGGTGCAAGATGAAGCACTGCAGAGGAGACTTCTTGCACGACAGAATTTAACTTTTATTATTGCACAAGAGGAAGCGCTCGCAAATGAGGCTGCATATGTCCATTCAAAAGAGATACAATCCTACTCCAGCAAAGAGAACTCACCTGAAAAAAATCTAGTGAAGAAGACTGATGTTAAATCAAAGGACTTTTCAACACGCACTGATGTCACAGCTCCATTTAAAGGAACTTGTTATGGTTGTGGTGGAAAACACAGGCGTAATACATGTCGTTTTCAAAATGCAGTTTGCCACACATGTAACGGTACAGGTCACATACAGACAGTTTGCCAAAGACAAGCCAGTGGAATTCAAACCAAAAATAAGAATGTGAATAAAATACAAACCACAGTGCACACTTTTAATACTCCACATACCGTTTCAGATAGTGAAATGACTGCAGGTGTTTACTCAAATGACTATGTGAATAAAGTGGAAAATTCTCCATCAGGACTGAAGATTTACACTGAAATTGTGCTGCAAGATGTTCCGTGCAAAATGGAAGTAGATTCTGGGTGCGCATATTCTTTGATTTCAGAAGAGACATTTACATTGTTATGGCCTCATAATTCTCCTTCAATAGTACCTTGTGATATTCATCTGGTGGACTACAACAAACAGGCTGTGGATGTTAAAGGGGCTTGTTTTATACCAGTAAAATATGGTAAATTCAGAGGACACTTACGGTTAATAATTACAAAGGGACAAAGAGCAAGTTTGCTAGGTAGAGCGTGGTTTGAACCCTTAGGAATTTAATTAACTGGAGTTAATAATGTATCCACAGATATTCTACAGAATGTTATTGATAAATTTAGTGCAGTTTTTGAAGAAGGTCTTGGCATGTTTAAAGGCCCTCCTGTTTCTTTTGTATTAGATTCAACAGTACCCCCAATTCGTATGAAGCCTCGCAAAATGGCATTAGCTCTCAGACCAAAAATAGATGCTGAGATTACACGTCTTGTGGAACAAGGTATACTTGAACCCGTAACACACCAAAAGTGGTGTACACCCATAGTTCCGGTGATGAAACCAAATGGGGATGTCAGAATCTGTGCTGACTACAAATGTACAATCAACAAAGCGTTGCAAGAGCATCCCTATCAAATTCCAGCTGTTCATCAAATTCTTACTACTTTGGCAAAAGGAAAAGTATTTGCCAAGTTGGATATGGCTCAAGCCTACCTGCAGTTACCTGTGGATGATGAGGCTGCTGATGCACAAACGATAATAACACACAAAGGAGCTTTCCGAGCAAGACGTTTGCAGTTTGGAGTTTCCATTGCTCCTGGCATATTCCAGAATTTAATGGAGGACCTCTTATCTGGACTTCCAGGTGTAGTGCCTTATTTTGATGACGTTTTTATTGGAGCAGATTCTATACAGTCACTCGCTGCACAGCTACAACTTGTTTTACAATGTTTTCTTGATGCTGGTCTAAAACTTAAAAAAGAAAAGTGTGTTTTTGGTGTAAGCAGCGTGGATTTCCTTGGTTACCAAATTGATGCACAGGGCATTCATCCAACTGATTCTAAGGTTGAAGCTATCCATAGAGCTCCGGTTCCAACAAACAAACAAGAACTGCAAGCTTTCCTAGGGTTGCTTAATTTTTACCATTCTTTTCTACCTGATAAAGCCACTGTTGCTGAACCTCTACATCGTCTACTAGATAAAGATGCTCTATGGAAGTGGACTGACGTTCATAGTGGACAGCGCTGCTAAAAAACTGTTGTCCTCTGACAGTTTACTTGTACACTATGATTTGGAGAAACCGCTCAACCTCACCTGCGATGCTTCTCCTTATGGTATAGGGGCTGTATTGAGCCACACTTTGAGAAATGGGGTTGAGGCTCCTATTGCTTTTTTTTCACTGACTTTATCTACTACAGAGAGTATTATGCCCAAATGGACAAGGAGGCTTTAGCTATTGTGCCCGGTGTAAAAAACTTTCATGACTATTTGTATGGGCGGAGGTTTACTATTATAACAGATCATAAACCTTTACTGGGTCTGTTCACCAGCAATACTCCCACTCCTCAAATAATTTCCCCACGCATGCTCAGCTGGTCCCTTATGCTGAATGCCTATGATTGTGAGTTCAAGTATCGTCCTGGCAAGGATATCACAAATGCTGATGGATTAAGCCGATTACCTTTGCCTTCTCCTGACTTCCTTGTTCCTCCTATGTCTGAGGTCCTCATGTTGGATTCCATTCCAAACCGTTACATGCAAATGACATTGCTTGTATTGGAAAAAGGAAAAAGATTATTAGATAAAATCTAATAAAATATCCAGGAGTGGTTCACACCATATACCTTTAAATACGTATTCCTAAATACGTATTTTTAGGAATACGTATTTAAAGGTATATGGTGTGAACCACTCCTGGATATTTTATTAGATTTTATCTAATAATCTTTTTCCTTTTTCCAATTTCAATATTAGGGATTTTCCAGTGGAGTTCCTTTATTTTCCAGTTGAGCGGTTTATTTTAGCCATATTATATTCTCTACAACTTTTTTTTTTTAATCAAAGCTCAACATTTTACTCTTGACATTGCTTGTATGTCTGCCAAGGATCCTTTGCTGTCCCGTGTGCTCAACTGGGTTTGGAGGGGGTGGCCAAAATCAAAAGTGGAAGACAAGTTCAAACCATTTGTAGTGTGCCAGCATGAACTATCTGCCTATAAAGGGTGGGGAAACAGAGTGGTAATTCCAAATGCAGGACAAGCTTGAGTATTGCATGCTCTTCATGAAGGACATCCTGGAATAGTTCGCGTGAAAGCTTTAGCCAGAAGTTATGTTTGGTGGCCTAAAATGGATGAAGTTATTGAAAAGTGGGTGAAGAACTGTGTGCCATGCCAATCTACTCGTCATGCTCCACCTAAAGCCTCAGTACATCCTTGGGAAGTGACTAGGTCACCTTGGTCCAGTTTACATATAGATTTTGCTGGCCCTTTTCATGGACAGATGTTTTTTTACTTGTTGACTCCTTTTCAAAATCGTTAGAAGTTGTTCCAGTTACATCTGCTACCTCAGTCACAGTCATAAAGATTCTAAGTAGGCTGTTTGCTACACATGGGTTGCCAGATACAATTGTGTCTGATAATGGAACTTAATTTACCTAATCAGAATTCAAAGTTTTCATGGCAAGCATTTCACCCATCATCAAATGGTCAAGCCGAGCGTATGGCTCAAACTACCAAAGACTCATTAAAGAGAATTATTGAATGAGATTGGAATCGTAGACTTGAAAATTTCCTTCTGCAACAACATGTGACACCTTGCTCAAACACTGGTAGTAGTCCAGCAGAGCTCCTTATGAACTGTCTGGATCGTTTACATCCTGATTTGACATCTGAGTTAAAAGAGAAGCAAGAATTGCAATTCAATAAGAACTATAATGCTACTACTGTGAGAATATTTGCACCTGACAGTGCTGTCTATGTCAGGAACTATGTTTCTTGGCCTAAATGGACACCTGCAAAAGTACTTGTGGCCACAGGGCCTTTGTCATACAAAGTACAAATTACTAATGGTAGAATATTACGAAGGCATGTCGATCAGATTCGGGAATGGAGTGATGAGATTGTGTCTGCTGCCGGTCCCAGTCATACTGGGTTTTCTGTGATACCAGATAATCTTGAACCACTGGACGATGCAGGTTTCAGTTCTCCAGGAGTTGTTGTTGAAGAATCAGTTCTGTGCGGTCCATCTGACAGAGCACAGGAAGAAGGGATGGGCACAACTGAAGGTCCAGGTGAAGCAGTTCCAAACATGGTTTTGAGGCACCCACGACTAAATATTAAACCTCACAGTTATTTCAAAGGCTTTGAAGTCTAGGGGGGAGGAGTGTTATGTATTGGGGTTTATGCAGTCCACCTTCCAGTAGATGGCAGCATAGTGAAGTTATGCACTTGTTCTGTTCTGTTAGTCTCTCTTGTGTTATGTCATTATGTGTGTCTACTGAAGTAAAGAGAAGTTCTATTTTACTACAATGTCTGAGAGCCATTTGTGAATATATAACATGCTAATACATTAAACCTGCTGAGTACCAGAAACTCCAGGATGTATTTGACAAGGGTCAGGCCAGCGTTCTGACACCACACCGTCCTTATGACTGTGCTATCGAACTCCAACCTGATGCCATTCCTGTCTGGAGTTAACGATCCTTTGTCAAGAGGATTCATTCGCAAGTCCTCCTCTACTGCCAAGGCCGGATTTTTGTTTGTTAAAAAGAAGAGTGGCGAGTTGAGACCCTGTATAGACTACCCCATGCCCTTGATCACTGAGTTATTTGACCGCCTCAAGGGAGCTACAGTCTTCACTAAACTCGATTTGAGAGAGGCATATAATCTCATCAGGATAAAAAAGGGCCACAAATGGAAAACCGCATTTAACACCAGGTGCGGGCATTATGAATACCTAGTAATGCCCTTTGGTCTTTGCAATGCTCCAGCGGTTTTCAAGGAATTTATAAATTATGTCCTGCAATGCTGCTGCAATGTGTGGTGGTTTATCTTGATGATATTCTTATCCATTCAACATCTCTCGAGAACCTACAGAAACTCAGAAAAGAATCTCTTCTCTAAATTGGAGAAATGTGAGTTCAACCGTAAACAGGTTAAATTTTTGGGCTATAGTATTTCTGAAAATGGATTCTCTATGGATCCAGAGAAACTTTCCACTGTACTACAATGGCCTCGACCTACGAGCCTTCGTTTTATACAGCGTTTTCTTGGCTTTGCCAATTATTATCGCAAATTCATACGCAACTTTTCTTCCTTGGTTAAACCTATCACGGTTATGACCAGGAGAGATGGCTTTGCTGCAGCTCCAATACCGGCACACCCTAACCCTGCCTTACCATTCATTCTCGAAGTTAATGTGTCTGAGACAGGAGTAGGCACCCTCCTGTCTCAACGTCCTAACCCTTGCATCCGTGCGGGTATTTCTCAAAGAAATTGAACCTGGCGGAATGCAATTATCAGATTAGTGATAGAGAACTTCTAGCTATAATTTTAGCTCTCAAAGAATGGAGGAACAGACAACAAGAATCTTACATATCTTTTGGAAGCTAAACGGCTTTCCCCTCGGCAAGCTAGATGGACTCTCTTCCTATCAAAATTCAATTGTGTGGTTTCTTATTTGCCCGGTACTAAGAACATTTGGACTCATGCCCTGTCTCGACAGTTCTCTCCTCCATCTAGGGAGGAGATAACTCCTACTCCTGTGTGTGATTCCTCCGAACCATATACTAGCCACCATCCGTACTAACCGCACCTCAACCCTGGCTGCACAAATTAATGCTCCTACAGAGAAACCTAGGGGCCGTTGTTTTGTACCTATTCATCTCCGTGCTAAATTACTAGGTACATATCACAACCCCAAAGCAGCCGGACATCCCGGCAAAAAACAGTTAATCTGGTCCCTCTCTTGACAATTTTGGTGGCCTAGTCTCCGTTCGTATGTCACCGCTTTTGTAGCTGCCTGTCCTGTATGCGCTCAAAATAAAACCCCACAACACCATCCAGTGGGTCTTGTGCAAACCATAACTAATGGTGAACGACCCTGGACTCACTTCTCATGGATTTTATTGTAAATCTTCCAGTCTCTCGTGGCAATATGGTTGTTCTCATGGTTGTTGACCGATACTCTAAGATGTCGCATTGCATTCCCTACCAACTTTTCAAGAACTGGCATAAATTTTTGCTCGGGAGATCTTTCGCTTGCATGGGTTACCCAAAGTGGAACGAGCTAACCAACCCTTTGAATAGTTTCTGCGTTGCTATATTTCAGACCACCAGAACAACTGGTCTGACCTGTTACCCTGGGCGGAGTTCACCCACAAAAGTGCTATTAATGCCTCTTCCTGGCTATCCCAATTCTTGGTGAACTGTGGGTTTCAACTGTCTATGTTGCCTGATACGTTAATGCCACAATGGATATCTGCATTGGAGGAACATCTCCGGGAACTGTGGGTTTCAACTGTCCATGTTGCCTGATACGTTCATGCCACAAGGGATACTGGCATTGGAGGAACATCTCCAGGAACTCTGTTTCACTTTGGTGCAGGTTTAGAACTCTTTGCGATGCGCAAACTCCAGGCCGACCACAGACACCTACCTGCACCTACCTATCAGGTCAGAGAGAGGGTCTGGCTGTCTCCCCGCAACCTATGGCTCTGTGTTCACTCACAAAAACTGGCACCCTGCTTCGTTGGGCCATTTCGTATACTTTGAAGGGTTAACCCTCTAGCCTATGCACTTAACCTTCCTGACAGCCCAGACATTCCGCCCTCTGCAAATTAGGAACCCTAGGGGCCATGTGAAAGAGTGCTCACATGGCCGCAATAGGTGTCCATAGTGCTGCCAGCAGGGGGACTGCCTGAATTGACAGGCAGTCCCCCTGCTGGTGAAAAAGTTTTAAAATAAAAATATTAATGTTAATAAAAAAAACAAAATATGAGATATATATACATATATCTTATATAATGTCAAACTAAGTGTATTTTTATTGATATATACATATATTACTATAAAAATACATTTAGAGTAAAATTACACACATATATATAATATATATAATAACTATATATGTTGTATATATGTATTATTTAAAAAAAAATAATCAATTGAAAATAAATAATACAAAAATGTAAAAATAATTGTAAAAATGATATATATATATATATATGTAATTTTATTCTAACTGTATTTTAATATTAATATCAAATATCATATATATATGTATAAATATAAAAAATAAAATGAAATATGCATATGTCCATATACATAATGACATAAATAATTTTATAAATATACATGTAGACTTCAAATATATAAATATGTATATATATTTTAATGCTATGTGCATATTTATGTAATATTTTTACATAATTTAAGTAATTTTATTGATTGCAATTTAGGGGACCTGCCTGACAACCCAGGACAAAAGTCCAGAGAATTTTATTTGCTAGCACTATATTTAACCCTACAACTTTCCAAGACACCCTAAAACCTGTACATGGGGGGTACTATTTTACTCGGTAGACTTTGCTGAAGACAAATATTAGTGTTTCAAAACAGTAAAACATATCACAGCGATGATATTGTCAGTGAAAGTAAAGTTTTTCGCATTTTTCACACACACACAGCACTTTCACTGATGATATCATTGTTGTGATACGTTTTATTATTTTGAAACACTAATATTTGTGTTCAGCGAAGTCTCTTGAGTATAACAGTACCCCCTATGTACAGGTTTTATAGTGGTTTTGAAAGTTACAGGGTCAAATATAAGGCCCTTTGAAAGCATATGGTAGCCCAGGAATGAGAATTACACCATGATGGCATACCATTTGCAAAAGAAGACAACACAAGGTATTGC